ATCACAGCGGGGCAAAAGACAGAGTGATAAACACATTATTCTGACAATATTGCTGTTGACAATGCCCATCCATTTTGATAATCAATCCACTATTGTGTCAGTGCGGCGTCCAAAGGGCCAGTGATCTATTGGGATTGACCAATTTTGAGTCACATCATGTGCTTCTTGGTGAGGGCAAACAGAGGTGTGACTGGTGGAGCAGTCAGGCATGTTATCAAAAGCCCAGGCTTGATTAACAGCTCATCAACATGCAAAACTAAACACTCTGACTAAATACATCTTCTCTGTTCAAACAACCGTGTTTCACAAAAAAAAAAAAAAATCCCAGCAGTGGCTATCAGTGCTTACAAACGTGCTTTCCAACCAGTTTGCATTTACGTTATTCTTCGTCGAAAAAAAAAGAAGAAAAACACAGCAGCACTTTATGAAACACCAGACATGACGACAAAGATTTAACTACATTTCACTGCACAAAGCATACATGCTAGGCTAATATTAGCAAAGCAGAAACAGCAGTTAAATGACACTTGCACAACTACGACTTGTCATGCACTTGATGATCATCATGCACACGTGAACAGGGGAAAAGGGGGCGAGAGGGAAGGGACAGAGGTTGTTCGGTGGTTTGATGCAGAGATGTTTTGACTGCGTTTTCATTTAAGTCATGATCGATTAAAAAAAAGTGTTGGGATATGTCTTTCTGAATGTTCTCCCTTAGGTTCTCCCATATATATATATATATATATATATATATATTACTATACTATTATATATATAACTATTTGATTGATATTGGCTGTACTCTGATTGACTTTGTATTTTTTTGAATTTGTATTTTTTTTTCAAATTTGACAAATTTTGTGTTTTAAATTCGCTCTAAAAACTCATTGTTTGTAAAAAATATATATAGCCACGCCTGGTGTGTTTTCATTGATAATCATGTTGACATTATCTAAATGTCAGGTCTCACAATGGCGTGCTTAAATATGTCACTTGCAGGCCACCGTTACATGCGGGCAATAGCACAGATGATCCAGAGGGGCAGGATTCAGCCGGGGGAGGGTCAGGGACAGGGACAGGTGCCTCTACTTTCCTTGTGGGGGAGTCTGGCTTCTCTGGAGCCTGTGTCACACAACTATCAGCAACAGCAGCAACAGCAATGCTGAGGGAGGGGAGGTGAAAACAGAGAGCAGTTACTTTGGCATCAGAGTGAAAAAAGAAAGATAGATTAGCAGGGGAGAAGAAGAAGACAGAAAGCAATAGGAGAGGTAAGAGCCTGTGTGCTCCATTTGTCTTAAAAAGCATTCCGGAGAGGTAGCGGCGCTGTGGTTTATAGGTCTCTGTGGGCTCAGCAGTGGACCTACAGTCACCACAGAGGGCAGGGATAAGTGGACCAAGAAGTCACCGAGAGTAAATTTGCTGATGTTTGATGTCAGCACAAGCGTGGTGAATATCAAATCAATTACAAAATACTAGAGGGGGAACCCTGGGTGTATGCATTACAATCTCATCATGTGAGTTGATTAAAGGCTCATGTGCACTTTGAGCTGAATCTGGCAAAACCCCAACCTCATTTGTTTTGGTAATATTCCCAAGAAGGATGTAAGCCAACCTCCACACAGAAGCATTATTCCTCTGAGGTTTGGGTTGTGTCTTGTGCATGTAGTATGTACTGAAGCCTACTACATAATGGAAACCTTGGCAACCATCAAGCGCATGGCTGTAGCCAGGTGTTTGAGACAACGTGACGTTTCATTGCATTCCCTGTGGAGGAGTAAATTTATTATTTATTTATTTCTGCAAATGTGCAGCAAACTTTTATTTAAAAAAGAATTACAGAACACCTAATGCTTTAACAGTTTTGTTCTGTTGTTCTCTCAGTTGCATTCTCTGTGCCCTCACATGTGTGCAGGCAGCAGCTGGAAATGTTTGGAGTGCGATGGCCTCTGAATTGGAGGCAGAACAATATTACAAGCTTGGCCAGAGCAGTGGGTCCTTAAATCTTTGAAAGCAATCTATCTGCCTGGGAAAGGAGTCGTACCTAAATTAAAACACATTCTGAGAGGGTATTTCATTTTAACGGGCCACTTCATATCAATAGTTCCATCATAATTTCTTTTTTGCTCAAAATTCTGGTTGTTTCTTTTTCTTTTTTCTGAAATGTGTATTGTTCAATTAAAAACAAATCTGCATAATTACATGTTTATTAAGATATTTTGACCTTTGGTGCTCACATATCTCCTGTGAAATCTCCCAAACATCCTGTGGAAGTCATAATAATATACAGAGGTAAGACTTTCCCAGGAAAAGACGGCGGCACATGGTCCAACAATGAATCCTGATTACGTAGTGTATTGATGGGAAATCAAATGGCTCAAATGACAATCAAGTCATCTTCTAATGGCTGCAGTTTCAATGATCTATTCTATTCTTCACCTGTTTTTATTCTTGGATAAAATTAAAGCCGATATATTTGGCTGTTAGAAATAATGACAGGGAGGGAGCATCATCTTTGCAGTGTGTCTGCTAACACGTTAGCACTCACACAGACACACGAAGAAGAAGAAGAAGAAAAAAAAAGGTATTTTTCTCTCCAAAATGTTTCCCCTCATGGGCTGACAAGAGTTCATTCCTAATCTCACCACCTGTCCAACCCACTTCAATGCTATCTAGGAGGAGTGAGGTACTCACAGGTCATTATCTGTCTCGGTGCGGGTCTTGTGCTGCCGCCGATGGACCATGACAACAGTAGCAGCCACTCCGATGATCAGTCCAATAGCAACAATACCTCCAAGGATCCCTACAACTCCACCTGGGGGACCCTGTGGCATTGGCTTCTCTGCAGACAGGAGAAGACATAACAGTGTCAGGCTTGGTGCTGTAGTAATTGATGGTGCTGGGTGGGACATGAGTGAAAACAAACAAACAAAAAAAAAAACATTATTGTGGGACAACTCAGGATTTAAATATTTAATTTCTGACAACACGACACAATTCTGACAACATTTTGTCAGAAATACCAGCGTGTTTGCGTCACAATACACTATTTACAGACACATATTTCAGGATGATTCCATTGTCCGTGCTGCGCTGGCACTCCGTGAATACCCCAGTTGTGGTCACTCAGCAGCTGCTGCTGCACTTCTAATGTCCACTCCATCATCTGTTCAAAAAGACGCCTAAATTGGCCCAGCTTTCACAATAAACTCAAATGCACTCTCAGGAGTGAGTGAGAAGAAATATGCTGAAGGAGCAACAGATTATTATTATGTTTTTTATTCAGTGGAAATATAATATAATAATATAATTATTGAATAGTATATAAGTGTTAGGGTTAGCAATGTCTGTGGTTTTGCAAAGGGGGTTCCCGCCCAGAAGCTAGTGCTGTTTGGGGGTCTTGGCACGGAACATTTTCGGAACCCCCTGATACTACAGTCACCCTTATGTTGATGATGTAAGCAACACTTTAGACTCAAACATTTACAAGTTGCCTACTTAAAATCCTTGGGGTGAAATAATTCATTTGCAATCACAAAAAATCAACCTAAAACAGACAGACTGTGTACAGCATGGTTACAGTAGCTTTTTAAAACCCACAAAGGACTGATTTCCAGGTTGGCAGTAGCTAAGTACGCCAGTGCCAAGTGCACTTATTTAAGGTTGCACTGAGCTTTAAGTCCACTGTCAAGGTGTTGAACGCTTGGATGAAGAATGTGTTTTTGCAGGATGTTCTACTAGAATATCAGCTGCTGCCACATCTGGACAAATTATTACTTAAGAAATAGAAAATTATAATTAAAAGTCAGCTCTTAATAAATTGGAACCTGAGTCAGGGGAATGAGTGAACCTGATGAATAAAACAGTTGACATTTTTTTGTAAATGGAAAAGTTTGGAGCCAACTTGTTTGCACACTGGTTATGTTGAGATTTTTTCTATTCCTGTCAACGTGCAGTTTTGCAGCACTAGTAAAAAGGCTCTAAAAGTCACAGTGACATTAAGCTCGACTGAAAATGCTGGAATGTAGTTTCACATAAAAAGAAACTTGAAAAAAGAGCCTTTTTTGTTAGAACTACATACAAAATGTGTCTGTTTGTCACAAGGCCCATCACAGCCTGGATTACTGATACTAAAAAACGAGGAAAACCACTAAAGACAACTAAAGGAGTCTTTTCTCTCAGCCATAAGATGAACAACACAAAGCAAACTCCATAAAAGTGCCCAACGCAGTGTGCCATTTTTACTGAGTTTGACATCAAATTCTTCAGCAGAGAACAATCACAAATAAAAAAACAAACAAACAAAAAAAATTTTACAGTTTACATTCAACTAGTGAATGTAAACAAAAGCGTCTTCTGTGTGTAGCGACACTTTCTGTGGGTCAAGGGCGTCGTAAATTGAGGACCCTTCTGTACTGTACTGTACTGTACTGTACTGTACTGTAGGTGAAGCCAACACTCACCTACTGTACTTCCAAGTCTGTGCTTCCATAGGGAGAGGGCTGTCTACCCCTGCTGTATAAATTCGTCTGCTGTGGGGTAGATAAAGACTGAATTAGTGAAGGTCCCGTGTGGAATCTGTCCGTCCTCCATTTTCAGAGCCACATCGTATTTTCTGTTGTTGTTGTCGATGTGGCAAACAACACTTGCATCTGTCTTCCTCAACAAGAGCCGTTTGAGCTGTCCTTTTCAAGACAGTCTGGGGACCAATCAAGGCTTTGAGCCCGTTGTGTTTGGTCTCCGCAAATTCTCACCATCTTCCACTTTGAAAAGGAAAGCCTATCTCCTGCCCTCATGATGTCTCTATTATTATCTGGCTGTCCCTCCTGGTAGTGACAGAACAAGGCCCTGCTCCCAGGGGGACTCTACTCAACAGCCCCTGCCTGCTCGCTTGATTCACTGCCCATAATGATGGACACAGAGGACTACTTCACATATGGCCACACAATAGCCTGCACGTCAGACCACTTTGTACCCGGCTCTACTGCCTGAAAGCCAGTGATTACATATCATGTCCATCAGTGTGTCCTATCACTCCAGTGTAGTCGCGCTCACTTTAATTTTCCCTTTTTTTCCCCTGGCACTTAAAAGTTATGTCAAATCTGAGCACCGAATGAGAACAAATGCGTTATCTCCTCACCGTTTTACATTTATTTCATGTGAGATGTTTCAATAAAAAAGGCTGCGCAATAGCTTTGGGGATCGGCTGTGAATGCGATCTCACTGCAGCATGGTGACAGATAAGCTGGAACCCCTGGTGCTGTCTCATTGTGTCACATAAATAAAGCCACTGGGCTGAATTTCATGGCCCTTAAGCAAATGCCAGCCACAACGGCCTGTTTAACCACAGCTTTACTCACAGTAGTAAGATGAACGATCATATCATTTTGCCATTTTAAGGCCTTAGAATGGCTCACAATTGTCCTAATTCTCTTCCAATTTTCTGCACGTGTACGTACAATTTCATTTCATACCTCATTGAGGTTTTGGCAAAATTTTGCTATTATATGCAAAGAGTGTTCATGTAAAAAGGATGTCCTCATTTGACCTCAGGCAGGGATGTTGGTTTGGATAAGAACAAGAGTGAAACACCAAGTGGACTGGACGCACAAAGTGCTGACATGGAAGCCGGGGTATGTCAATTTAGCAGAGCAGGAAGAGTGGGCCTTCTTTTTTAATGAAACTCTCTAACTCCCCTGTCGCCTTCTCAAAGTCACATCAGGTTGCTCCACTAAGCATTCCCTAACATTGCACTTGTCCAATCAGCCTACACTCAGCTCTACTTTTATATTCTCAATTAACAGCTGGTTGGAATGCTGTAATTAAAAAACATGTTTTTCTTCTTTCCTTTAAAGTGATAGTAAGCTTTGGTTTGACATCGACGAGGGGTCCAGAAGAACATTTTTTATCCTTTAACCCTGATATATATATCAGGGGTCTCCTACTATATATGTGGGATGGCAAGAAATATAACTATTTTGACAATGCTGCTAAAAATGGTGAAAAAAGGTGATTCTAGGTAGAAGAGAACAGGGATATTATGTTGTTTTGTTAGCAACAAGCTAGAAATCAGGTACAATTTTCTTAAACTTAAATTCTGTAAAAACTCATTGATTATGTTTTTTCTCTCACCATGATTAGAGAATAATCATAATCTGTGTACTTGGTTTTATCGACATGGGTTTCATATTACAGCAGCTAATCACCTCAGCTCTGTTTTTGTTGAAATGAATCTGCAAAAAAAAAAAAGTTTTCTTTATGAGAAGGAAAGGCAGTGAACGCCGTGGACGGTTAAACAGAATGATGAGCGAGCACACACCATTACTCACACTCTGAGCACCACAGTGCTGAGCTGGGACCATTTGTATTGCAAAGGCAAGAACTGTTCTGTACTGAAGCCAAGCCCTTCTACAGTACGGGATATGCAGCACAAAACATGCTTGGGTCAATGTATGCAGCAGAAAACTGGTCCCCGAATGACTCAATTAGTTGGAGAAATATATAGAAACATATAACAGCCCATCTGATTAAAACTCCACATTGGAGTTGAAAGACTCATAATGAAATATTTTGGTTTTATTTTCAGTGCATATACTGGCACAAAAAAGTAGCAACAACTATGCATTTGCACATATATCAGATGTTATATTTAAAGTAAACCCTTTAATTTTTAGCAGTTGTTAACTAGAGGGGTAAAAGTCTCGTGCTATGAATACTAATGATATACAGTATATACATATACACTATAGGAGACTGCTCCAGATCATGTGACTGAAGGAACCTCGAGATACGAGCGTCTCGACATACGAGCAAGCCTTTCAAGCAGATTTTTGCATTGTATCTCGAGTCGACCACACTTACAGACAACAATGCTAGATGGTCGAGCACTCGGAGCAGCCCACGCTGCTTCACTCGTTCACTTGACGTGTTTGTCGACCATGCTTTTGGGTTCCAGATTTTCACTGTCCACGGGAGATGCAGACATTCAGCAAAAAGATTTACGTCTAGATTTTCTTCCAACACTTGATTTACAAATGTGCGTTTGTCAAAAAAACAAAACATGTTGCTCAACACCAATTGATTAAAACCACTGGAGCTGTATATCTGCTACAAGAATAGAAGACGAAGAAAGGGTTGTGGCAACACTGACAAATATTTGTGTAGACCCCAAAATTGTTCTTAGTGGCTCCAGGCTTCAGCAGAGTCTATTAGTTTTCTCTTATGACCATGACATTGCCCTGCAAAAGTAACTGTTTGGAAATCTCCCAGCGCTGCGTACAATAGGCAGTACTGCATGCAGAGGCCGTTGTCATTGTTTTAGAATAAACAGTGCACTGCCAACAGTAATAATCGCAGGGATTGTGTTACTGTGTGCAGTGGTTTCTTCACTGCTGCTGGCTGAACAACATTAGTGCCAGAACCAAGAACAACACAGCGCTGCAAGCAGAAAGACGAGAGTTTGTTTTTCAGTGTTCCACATAGAAGTGTGAAATATTATCACTGGATGAAGTACATCATGCGCATAGCTAACGATGAAAAGAGGTGTTGTGTTCATTAAAAATATGACTGCATTTAAAATCATTTGGTAACACCGTGTTCAGACATAGCTGCAGGGTCTTTTTTTACTACAAAGACTCTGCCAGGTACATCAGAACAAGAAACATTGTCCTTTAACCAACCTATGCACAAAACATCTGGATTTAACGATTAGAAAGGAACTCTTTCGACTGACACAACGGACAGGCAATCCGTTTTTAAAACAGACTGAACCAATCAAATGATTGGAATCGATGAGTTCTGCATCCATAATCAACAGTCTTTGTCTCGTCTGAGCCTGGCTGGATCTTCAGTTTTCCGTCCTTTTCTCCAATTTTGCTCAATAAACAGCTTATTAATTATATATTTTTCTTTTACACAGTAACAACACATTGCATCCTGAGGGAGCTTATATTTCCCCCTCGTCCAATTCAGGAAAATGTTTTATAGCGTTGGAGTATTATTCAAGGTCTGCAGATTTAATCAATTTATTCCAAATCTGGTCGAATTTGTCTTTCTGCATTCTTAGGTAATAAGTGAACTTTTCCTTCTTAAATATTTCCAGGATTACTTCAGATACAATCATTCTCTTTGCTCATAGCCAGAAGGTCTTGTGTCATTTTTACGACC